GTAAGTTTTTCTTCTGAGTCTGGTAAAAAGATAACTATAGCTATCTAGTGTTCAACTCTGTCAGAGATCTGAGAAGGCTATACTATTGCCCCAGTAAACAGGAAGTGTAGAACAAACAACTACCAAGGACAGAAATAGCTGGCTGCCTGGACAGTCACCCAAGGTTCCTCTGCAAAGTTGGAGCATCCATCTTTGCTCTATAGGCCTAGAATATCTGACAGACTTATCTGTGAAGCAGGATTTTTGAAGGACCATCCCTCCTTGTCTTGGGAAAGTTCTGCAGTCACTTTCTTTTCTGTCCTGCCTGCCCAATTTGGACAGCATACTGTCAGCAGTAGAGGCAAAGGCACTTTCTTGCCCAGTGGCTAACTTTTGCCACAGAGAGAGTAAATACCATATGGAGTTTCTTCAATGCCCATCATCTTCCTTGAAGTTGATTGGTGCTTCCAGGAACAGGCATTTTTCATTGTCATTAAAAAACAAACAAACAAACAAAAAACAAAACAAAACAACTTTATGTTGTTAAACCATCTTAAATGCCATATTCTGTAGATCTCTGAAGTATTTGAAGACCACCTGTCTATCTAAAATATATCACTGTTTGACCTTGAAATATATATATATAACATGACTACAAGTTTGATTGTAATAGGTAACTAACTACTAACCTGCATTTCTTTACTATCATAAATAGTTTGTAATAATAACATTCAAGGACCAGAAATTTACATTAATTGTGAGATCAGCTGTATAGGTACAATACATGAGAGAAGAGGCTGAGGGTGGAGGCGACAGGAATTTGCCCCGCATAGGGAACCAGATAATGGGGGGATTTAAAAAGGCAACTCCATGTGGTTAAAAGGGGGTTTATTTGGGGGTAACTTATAGCCAGTAAATGGGTTGGTTACAGGATCCAGGAGAGGTGAAGTGCAGTCCAATGGAGTTCTCTGGAGAACACTGACTGGGTCTGCCATCCAGCATCCAGGATCATGAGGAGCTGGATCAAGGATGGATCTGGGGTCTTAAGGGTTCCCATCTCAGCCATGCCCCAGGGGCATGTCATATGTAGGTGTGGCAGTTACCAGCTGCCTCACTGAGGCGGTGCTTCAAGGTCAAAGCTGGAACAGCTACCCACTACAAGTGATTGTTAATTCCTATCTGTAGAGGGAAGTTTCGGTCCCACCTGGCCCCGTGGTCCCACAGCCGCTTATAAAATAATCATTAAGAGGCTTAATATTAATTGCAAATTATATTGCCTATGGCTTAGGCTTCTTACTAGCTAGCTCTTATAACTTAACTCAACCCATAACTATTAATCTATATATTGCCACGTGTTCTGTGACTTTACCTGTGCCCCAATATGTGTTACTCATTGAACAGTGGTTTGGTGTCTCCCCTTTACTCTAATTTCTCCTCTCACCATCTCTCTTGGGTTGTCCTACCTGGCTCCATCCTGCCCTGTCATAGGCTAAGGCAGCTTTATTTATTAGCCCATGGGAATAACACATATTCACAGCATACAGAAAGACATCCCACAGCACCTGCCATTTTTTGGTTTTATTGTTGATGGTGGTAGTGTGTGTGTGTGTGTGTGTGTGTGTGTGTGTGTGTGTGTTTGTGTGTGTGTGTTTTCCTTCTTTGGGATTTTCTGGTTTAAGATTATCTATTAACTGTGTTGTTGTGGGTGCAGCTAACTTACTCCTGTTGAAGTTTTCCTTCTAGTACTTTCTGTAGGTCTGGATTTGTGGATAGATATTGTTTAAATCTGGTTTTGTTGTAGATATCTTGTTTTCTCCATCTTTTGTGATTTAAGGTTTTGCTGGCTTTAGAAGTCTGGGCTGGCATCCACGATCTCTTTGTGTCTGCAAACATCTTTATTGGACCTTCTGGCTTTCAGGATCTCCATGGAGAAGTTGGGTGTAATTCTGATGGGTCTGCCTTTATAAGTCACTTGGACTTTTTCTTTGCTCCTCTTAATATTCTTTCTTTATTCTGTATGTTTAGTGTTTTGTTTATGTGGCAAAGGGACTTTTTCTTTTGGTCTAATCTATTTGATGTTCAGTAAGCTTCTTGTATCTTCATAGGTATTTCTTTCTTTAGGTTAGGAAAGTTTTCTTCTATGATTTTGTTGAATATATTTTCTGTGCCTTGGGGTGGAATTCTTCTCCTCCTTCTATTCCTGTTGTTCTTAGTTTTGGTCCTTTCATGGTGTCCCAGATTTACTGGGTGTTTTGTGTTAAGAATTTGTTGGATTTAATATTTTCTTTGACCAATGAATCTATTTCCTTTATCATATCTTCAATGCCTGAGATTCTCTCTTCCATTTCATGAATGTTATTGGTTATATCTGCATATGTAGTTCCTGTTCATTTACCCAGATTGTCCATTTCCAGCATTCCCTTGGTTTGTGCTTCCTTTATTGCCTCTATTTTAATTTTCAAGTCTTGAACCATTTCCTTCATCTGTTTGATTGCTTTTCTTTGACTTTCTTTATGGGATTTATTGATTTCTTGCGATTTTTTGTTTGTTTTTTTCCTCCATTTCTTTAATGGGATTTCTTATTTCCTTTTAAGGGCCTCTATCATCTTCATAAAGTTATTTTTAAGGTCACTTTCTTCTGTTTAATCTGCATTGGGATGTTCAGGTCTTGCTGTTGTAGAATCACTAGGTTCTGGTGGTGCTGTTGTTGAATGTATTCTCACATTGCTGTTACCCACCTAGGTTTGGGATAATTATAGGAACAGGTGTCGATTCTTGTGATGTCTTTGTTGATGTGTCTTTTGTTCCTGTATTGTCTGTTTCCCTTATTGTCTTTTGCCCTGAGTGGCCAAGAGTTCTGGTGATTGGCTGCTTGTCAGGTCAAATAGTGTTGACTCAGGTCAGCTGAGATTTGGGGGTGTTTGGATGCCTAGATCCAGTGTATTGTCCAGTTCTTCGGGCTGGTGTGGGCTTTTATTGTTCCTATGGGCTCTGTTCTTCTAAATGGTGTGAGTTGTGCCTGTGCCTATGGAGTCTGTTCTTCGAACTGGTGTAGGTTTTGCCTGTGCCTGTTCTTCCAACTGGTGTGTGTGGCACTTGTGCCTGTAGGGTCTGCTGATGTTGCTGCAGAG